AATCAGGAAATGCTAGGGAATCATCGATAGCCTCGTCGGGGTCTATCTCGGGCAATTGGCCTAAACGGGTCCAACCTTGCTCCGGCCCTACAGGATCCGGAACTTGCGGTGACTCAGGACGAGCCTGCTCAAGGTCGTCCAACGTCAGGCTCAGGTTGATGCCTGTGGACGGTGCAGGTGCTGGGTCAGCCCATTGTGCTTCAAGAATGGCTATACCTAATCGGTCATGGCCCATAAGGAAAGCATCCTCCCAGGCTACACAATGATCCTGCCAATTAACACCTTTAACCAGTCTCTCCCATCTAGAAAGAACTCTTTCTTCCTTTGTAAGGTCCGTTGGGTCTATGATTCCAACATGGCCAACGCGGGACCAGGAATCCGGACTGTCACCAGTGGGCTCTAAGGCATCAACGATTGCCTCGCTAAGGCGACTGTGTAAAACAGACGGGGTGACGCGCATCCCCATCTCTATCATGGTGGTCACAGAGTCATTGAAGACACCCATGATGAGTTCCACATCGTCGTGCTCAAGGTCCCTTGACTCACCGGCAATCTGTGTGTTACTCATCACAGATAAAGAGTCTACAGTGGCATTGAGCATACGATTTGCCGCATCTCGACGTCGGCGCTGGAAGTCAGCCGGAACCTCATCTATAAACGTTCCGCATTGTTTGCAAAACGTGCGAGACACTGATCGCGACGAGCCACGTCGATCAATGATCTCGTGCGGGCATGTCTCTGGGTCGTTGGTGTATGAGACCTCTCTGGGTTCTCGCGTGACCTTTCCGCAGTCTCTACAGGTACTGCGCAGCCAGTTCATGGTAGATCCTGCGTGCGTAAAATCCTTGCATCCTTGGACGCAAGGCTCCAATGGTGGGTTCGGCGGTACCTTCTTTCCGCCCTTGTTCTTGACACGCGGTACATAGGTTCCTTCAGGGATACCTATGCTGGCTCGGGTGACAACCTCGTCGCCCTCGATCACATAGTAGCGATTGAACCAGGCTAAAAAGTCTTGGAGTTGGCGACTAGGGTTCACCTGAACCTGTGCCCATTGAACAACAGCTGGAAGCCGGGCAATCTCGTTGTAAGTCTTCCCCTTGTACTGACCAAGGTAAAACTTACGATCTCCGCCTTCCATTTCCATCGGAATAGGCAGTGGCGCCGCTGACGCTACAGCTGCACTTCGGCTAGCTGCGCTTTTGCTTGCGGCAGCGCGAACGACAAAGCCAGAGTGGTCCTTGTCTGGCGCTTCCGAGGGAATGACCAGACCTTCCTCGCTGGATAGGACCGTTACGGCGACGTGTGCTGCCTTGCCTGCGGCCTTGCCTGCAGGGAACTTGCACTCAGGGTCACCAGCCCAATGGCCGATACCACCACATCTCATGCATCGCGACTTTGCCTTAAGGGCTTTGAGTTTGTCCCTTCTTTGCTCCAACGTAAGGTGACTTCGGACCACCTTACCCTTGCCCTTGCCTTTGCCCTTGGATCTGTTCTTGCCCTTGCCCTTGGCCTTGCCGAAGGCTGCGTTGGCTGCCAAGGACAACTGGATGGCGTGTCCTACCTCGGGAGAATCCTCGAGGAACTGCTCCATGGCGTTGAGGGCGATGGCCTCGTCCTCATCCAGCTCATATTCCTCGAACTCTTCTTCCTCGGCAGGGGGTTCTTCCTCCCAGCTCTCCTCAGCAACAAAGGCTTCTTGGGCAAAGTTCTTCCTGCTCTAACTCGCCTGCGTCTTCGTCGATCGCAGGGAAGGCCTTGCGGGTAAAACCTTTACCCTTAGACCTATTAGATCCGTAAGATCTAGGACCATAACCCTTGCCAGTGTTACGGTAAGGCTGGGGGTTGCTGCCTCCCAGCGCGCGCTTCGCGCAGATGAACACCTGTGTAGTGCTGCACCAAGGTGTTTGCTATCTGCTCGAACTTCTTCGGGTCGGCTGTGCAAGCCTTGACGACCAGGGCTTCTTGTCTAGATAGCCCAGAGAGCTCTAATAGTAGCTCTACGCGCATCGGCTCAGAGAGCTCGATGCTGGCATCCAGGGTTTTCAGGAGATTCCACCACCTCCGTCTACGGGAGATGTAACTCAGCATGCTTTCCCCTGCCTGCCTGGACAGGGTCCCTGGCCTCTGTCCCGCCCGGAACAACTCTCGGGCTTCCTCTGTCGCGCGGGGGAACACTACCTCCCGCATTCGTTCGATGAAGCTTCGAAGTCCCCCTGGAGCAGTTAGGGCATCTACACCGATGTCCCTCGCGAGTTCGAAGGCTTCGTCTCTGAGGCCTTCGAGAACACGGTGTACCATTTCTGTTCTTGCCTTCGTGCTCGAGGGGAGTCCTTCAAGGTACTCGAACGAAATGGGCTTCGCGGATTTGCCCGACTTCTTCGACCTCCGACTTCCCGCGCTGAGCTGGGAAAGCTTGTCGAAGTACTCGTCTGCTCCGCCTGGATGCAGACCTCCTTCTTCTTGAGGGCCTTCATGCTCCTCATCGGCTGTGTCCGCGGCCTCTGGCTCTCGGACGTTGTGGTCTGGGTCAACTTCTCCCTCCAGACCTGCTTCGGAGTCTCCTCGGGTACTCCTGGCTTGGGACGCTTTCGACCGAATAGCGTCTTCGTAGAGTTTCAGGCGCAGTTCCGTCCTGAACTTCCAGTCGTAGAACGTCGAGGGATCCCCATTGTAGATGTAGGACCCGGACTTCGTCTCGGCCATATGGCTCGAGCTTGCGCTGCCCCTAACATAGCGGAGACCTGCAACGGACATGCCGGAGGAAAAAGCTCAGGGGAGCAGTGGCGGCTCCGATGGGACGAAAGCACGGCCAAGGAAGGCCGGCAACCAAAGGGGTGCCACAGAGGGAAAGGCACAGGGCCAAGGTCAAACAGAGGAGTGTTTGAGAGAAAGAAAGGGAGTGCAAAGCAAGAGGGTCGAACTTGCGGGCTCGCCCAGGCCCGGACCAACACAGGCTAAAGCCACGCGTCGCAGGTGGCTATGCCTACCTGCTCCGCTACCAGTTTGGGAAAAGCTGGCGGCTTTCACCTTTTCTCACTGCATAGACAGGTATGCTCAAGAGCGCTCTGTAAGCCAAATGTAGCGGATAAAATACAGTCAACATCTATGCCATCAATACACTCTCATTCATGTCCAGGCTATACATAGGTGAGATTGAGACTAAGCCTCAGGTCTTGGAACAGTGGGTTTCTTGCAGTGCTACTGTGGAATTAAGCGCCCAAAAGTACCCTTCTGGGATGGCTTTCAATCTAATTCCATCCCTAAACCCTAAACCCTAATCCCTAAACCCTAAACATTAATCCCTAATCCCTAATCCCTAATCCCTAATCCCTAATCCCTAATCCCTAATCCCTAATCCCTAATCCCTAATCCCTAATCCCTAATCCCTAATCCCTAATCCCTAATCCCTAATCCCTAAACCCAACACAGCATGCCTTGTGAAGTCAGGCCTAGGGTTTAGGGTTTAGGGTTTAGGGTTTAGGGTTTAGGGTTTAGGGTTTAGGGTTTAGGGTTCAAGAGCTCCTGGTCGAGCAGTTTCTCGTTTAGGCTCTGTGTTTAGAACATCGAAAAATACCCACCCACCCGAAGTTCCCATAACATTAAGAAATAAAAAGTTTCTTCTTTTTATTGGGATGGTTCAATAACAAAATGAATGACTTCCACTTAACAAACGAGGTGGAGATACTAAACCACGCGAGGCTTTGAGGTCTTGAAATCCTAAACTGAGGCTCAAACCTTGAAAAAATGTTAAAAAATGAAAAAACGAAGGAAAAAAAGAAGGAAAAAAAAAAAACCTGGGGTCCCCCCCATTTGGGGTGTTTTTGGAAGCAAATTTTCCCTCATGGGGGGGTCGGAGTTCGAGGCAAGGGGGGCGTCTCCGAAGATTATTTTGCCTTTAAAATCGAAAAATGACCCCCCCTCCCTGACCAAAATCATTATGAAAAAGGTCGCGCAAAAGTCTTGAAAAACTTGAAAAACACAAAAACCCAGAAAACGAGAGGCCACCCAGAACCCTCGATTTCAGTACTAAAAATTCGCATTTTCATTGCGGGTCTAGGCCAAGCCTGAGGTCCCTTTTGGGGTGTTTTTTGAGGCAAGAGGTTTAGGGTTTAGGGTTTAGGGTTTAGGGTTTAGGGTTTAGGGTTTAGGGTTTAGGGTTTAGGGTTTAGGGTTTAGGGTTTAGGGTTTAGGGTTTAGGGTTTAGGGTTCTTAGATGTAAGATTTAGGGCTAAGGGCTTAGGGCTTAGGGTTTAGGGCTTGGAGTTTGTTAGGGTTGGCTGGGTTTTGGCTGTGGTTCGGGAGTTGTGGTCCCTTTCTTTGTTAGTGGTTGCTTGGGGGTGTTGTAAGGATTCCTTGCCTACCCTAAACCCTAAACCCTAAACCCTAAACCCCAAACCCCAAACCCCAAACCCCAAACCCCAAACCCCAAACCCCAAACCCTAAACCCTAAACCCTAAGCTAACATAGAATGTCTAGTTCGCCCCGGGGGGCCATCCATGCCAGCTGCACA